TTACAATACTTTGAGAGAAGTATGGCTTTCCAGGCCATTTGGCAACCTCTCCAGATAATCACAGCCAAATACTCGCAAAGATTCAAGATTTCGAGGTAGCATTTGATCTTCTTCAGCCCAGCACACAAGTTCGGAACATCCCCCGACATTTAAGTGTTGCAAATGGGAAAGGTGTAGTGGTGTATTACCCTTCTGCCATAGAGTCACAAGTGCAGCACAGTCACGCACTATAAATTTTTCAAGTGACACCAAGAAATGAGTGAATTCTTCCTGTAAACGGGTCAGTCCCGAAATATCCTTAATATACAATTCTCTTAGAGAGGTTAATTCAGTGAGACCTTTTAGAACCATCTCACTACAACCTTTTATCTGTAATTTGCAAAGAGAGGGAAGCCTTAGGACTGAGACACTTACCAATTTAGGACAATTCCATATAGTAAGTTGACGAAGGCAAGGGAAATGTCCTACAAATTCAACACCAATATAACTACACCACTCTTTCCATTTTGGCATATCCTTAAAGCTCAAAATCTCGAGCGATGGAAATCGAGTCTCCAAAGCGCTACCATCCCCATAGAACTCAGCACCCATGTTCTTTACTGAATGCATGCCTTGAATGTGTAGTTCTTTCAGCAGAGGTAGCTGACCTAGTGGTGGCAAAGACGCACATTTTGTACATCCTCTTAGACTAATCTGTGTGGTTTCTGAGAAAGACATATCGCCAATCCAACTGGGGAATGTTAAGCCCCTGTAAAACTCAATTTTGAGATGTTTCAATCCCTTATGCGGTTGTAGCATGTCAAGTATGTTGGCTTGGAGCTTTTGATTTCGAGAATCTTCAACCTCACTACTCCATAGCAATTCTATGTCATCAAGCTCTCTCTTACCATTTAAGTTGGCCTCCTCCGCATCCCACACATTCTTAACATTTTGCAAACCTACAATGGAAAGCATCCCCCGTAGAAGCTCTAGGTTGTTCAAATGGCTAAGTTCCAATCCACCACTTTTACACATAACAAACTTTGGCAAAGTTTGCAAACTTTTCAACTTACTAATCCCGGGGGGCATCTCTTGTAATTTTGGAGTGTTAGCATTGTCAAGATGACGAAGATACACTAAATATTCAATATCTGCGGGCAACTTACAAAGCTCATGACAATCACGCAACAACAATGTCTGCAAATTGTTGAGACCACTCACTGATTCTGGCAACCATTTAATTAGTGTCCCTGATAAATTTAAGTAACGAAGATGTTTCAAATCCCTAATCGAGTTAGGTAACTCTTTTATATTGTACCAACTCATAGATAATACTCTTAACTGCAGTAACTTTGGGAGTATGTTGACTATAACAACATTGTGTAAATTGAAGATCGTTGCCCATGACTTATAAACTGGCAGTGCTAAGAATGTCCGCATGCTATGAAGTTCAATGAAATGCCTTGAATCTTGTATACATTTCGAATCTGTGGCGAATGAATGCCGAGTGACGAGCCTTAGGGGAAATCTTCCGCCATTCACTGCTCTCCGTATTACCTTCCAACCTAACGCATATTTCTCCAGCAACAAATTGAGCTAAATCATTTAAAAGATCATGCATTATGAATTTTGATTCCGTGTCACTTGAAGGTTGGAAGAATGACCTTGATAACAACTCATTGAAACAGTCGTCACCTACCTCTTCCATGCATTTCCTCATTCCTTGTGATTGTTGCAGAAATCCTTCGGCCATCCATACCAAGACTAACTCATCCTTGTCAAACTCATAGTCCTTTGGAAATATGGCGCAGTATGCAAACATTGGCTTCAATTGAGAAGGTAGGTGATGATAACTTAATCTCAGAGCTGGAAGAATGCTACTCTTATACTCGGGTAAATCCCAGATTTCACTATCCAGTAGGTCTTTCCACTCTCTTGGGCTACGTTTATTGCGCAGGACGCCACCCATTGTCTTCGCTGCCAAAGGCAAGCCTCGACACTTTCTCATGACAGCCATACCAAGTTCTTCCAAATTTGGATGGCCACCAAAATTCCTTGTACCCAGCGCATGTTGAGCAAACAGAGATAAACAATCATCATCGGTCAACTCTTTTAGACGGTATGCTAGAACAGAATCCATGGTTGATGCTACGCCTTCATTCCGAGTTGTAACAATAATTTTACTTCCAGGTACCCCAACTCGAAAAGGCGCACGACGGAGATCCCATATTTCATGCTCCTCATTCCAAACATCATCTAAAACAAGAAGAAATTTTTTCCCATAAAGTTTCTCTTTAAGACTTACTTGCGCCGTATCCAAGTTCTTGAAGTCACGATTCTCTTTGGTCGCTGATTCATAAATTTTGTTTGTTATCATGAGCACATCAAACTCTTCAGAAACACATACCCATGCTCCCAAGTCAAATAAATCCTTGACTTTTTGATTGTTGTACACTAGTTGAGTAAGAGTGGTCTTGCCGAGACCACCCATACCAACTATTGAAATGACGGATGGTTCATCATTACATGATTCATTCTTGAGTAACAATCCAAGTATTTCTTGTTCATCCTTTTCCCGTCCATAAACATAGGACTCACGCACCAAGGAAGCAGTCATTCTCTCTGTTCCTGTGTTTGACCTTACTTCAGAATGGACTCTCAAACCCAGGCCATCGCAATGTTTTGCAATATCTTCTAGTCTAGCGGTGATCGTTTCAATCTTGGGGCCAAACTTGGTTTTGAGCCCAACTGATCTTGGGAAATTACTACAACAAGTAGGGAGAAAGTTAATAACCTTGCTTGTGGTAGCTGCTTCAGGCTTCGAATTCACTTCATGGTCCAAAGCTTCTGTCGCAATCTCGTCCACCAGATCATCCACATCGTAAGCCAGATCCCTCAGTTCCGCCAGCCACAGTTTCACAGTTTCGTCCCTTATTTGCTTAGCTTCAGCATCGTTGAGCACCGCTCTAATTGTGAATAGCAGTTTGCGCAATTTCGTCAACTGGGTAAGAATCCCTTCGCTGCGAGCAAAATTTAACAGCTCGCTAGAGGCCAATCTGTCAAACAACACACTAAAGAACGCACCCAGAAAAACTTCTACGATAGCCATTGTTTTCAAGATGAGCAGATCAGGGAAGGATGGGTTTCCTGTATGTTAAAATTGCTCAAGGCCTCAAGTCAAAGTACACCTTCTTCCACTCACTTTCGTGTTCAATTTGGTTCTGAATTTGTGGACGATATTTGCTGTCGTTTCATGAACTACACCACTTAAATGAAAGTCAGAGACCCATGTAAATATCCACAAACGTGATTTCCTACTGGGCCCTAATATTCTTTGGGATTAGTAATAAATTTAATTGTTCTAGTGCCTAAGATTAATAAACAATGTGTAAATAATATTTTCCACCCTAAACTATAGGCTCATTGTACTATCAAAGTTGGAGACTCATACTTTAAAGTTTATATTAGACTAGGTGATTCACAATTATACTAATTATACTAATTTAAGTAGATTCATTCTTGAAAGATGTAATGAGCGCAATCAAAGACTTCGAAAAAAAATTTGTTGTCGGGTGAGAACATAAATTTCAATTTAAAAAAAAAAGCAAGTTGACAGAATATTTTTTTTTTTAAACTTGTCCTTTTTTTTTTAACCCTTTTCCATTTTCCTCTTTGATGNCAGTAGGTGATTCACCATTATACTAATTTAAGTAGATTTATTCTTGAAAGATGTAATGAGCGCAGTCAAAGATTTGAAAAAAAACTTCTTGTCGGGTGAGAACATAAATTTCAATTTAAAAAAAAAGCAAGTTGACAGAATATATTTTTTTTTTAAACTTGTCCTTTTTTTTTTAACCCTTTTCCATTTTCCTCTTTGATGAAAGGTATGTTAACCAAACTCTTTTGCTAGATGATATGCCCATATTTGTTTCCACTTCGCCTAAACCTAGACCAAGAGTCTCAACCAATTTTACACAATTGGACCCTAAAAATTGTATGTCATCCAAATTATTATTTAATAAGACTAATTAAAAATTTTCGGATTAGAGTCCCTGTGTCATTTGAAAAATATCAAGGGGTGCCAAGATAATTAAAAATGACTCAATTTTCTCATTCCTAATTGGGTTTGTTTGATATAATAGTTACATTATGTCAACATTGTCACATGGTATAATTGTTCAATAATAAACAAACAAACAGATAAAAAATGTCTCACTACTTCAAATAATCACGAGTTTATGTAGGATAGTAACCACCACATATTTAAAAAGTGAGATTTATTTACTCATTTATTTATTAATTTATTAGTGAATAATTAAATTCAAAGAGAACGGCTTAATTAATTTATGGACTTAGTTTTTAAACTAAATTCAAAGAGAACGGCTTTTANTTGGGTTTGTTTGATATAATAGTTACATTATGTCAACATTATCACATGGTATAATTGTTCAATAATAAACAACCAAACAGATAAAAAATGTCTCACTACTTCAAATAATCACGAGTTTATGTAGGATAGTAACTACCACATATTTAAAAAGTGAGATTTATTTACTCATTTATTTATTAATTTATTAGTGAATAATTAAATTCAAGGAGAAGGGCTTAATTAATTTATGGACTTAGTTTTTAAACTAAATTCAAAGAGAACGGCTTTTAAAAAAAATGTACTAGAGTGATATGGATAAGAGGAGATAGAAACAATAAATATGATGAATTAGGAACTCCAGTAGTGTCAAAGCCTCTATTCTTCATCCAGACATGGTGCTGTTCATATTGATTTCAAGAATCTACAGCTAACTTCAGAATTTTTTTTCTCCTTTTTTTTTTTTTTTTTAAGAAAAGAGAGAATTTTATTGAATAACTCCCCAAAAATTACAAGAATCAAAAAACAGTAACTGTTTCAACAGAAAACAGTAACTATTTTTAACAAAAAAACTGTTACCGTATAAAACAGAATTCTGTTACCAATACCAGACAAAACAGTTAAAAATTCCTCCTATACAGTTGCTGCATTGCCTGATCCTCACAGCTCAGCTCCTCTGTGATCAGACCTCACCAATTTCCTCATCCTTGCAGTGCACAGTCCAATTTGATCCTATTGCAGAAGCATTCTGCCAGATAGTGGCAAAAAGCCACTGACCGAAAAATCAGTGTATCTCCCATAGTAGACTGCATATGAGGCCAGAAAATCAGCTATCACATTGGCCTCTCTGTACACATGCCTTAACTGATACTGTAATCCACCAAGCATCACCCAGATCTGATCCAAAATACCTTTAATCTTCCAAGGGATTTCAGCTTTCCCCAATACCATCTGAACCAACATTTTGGAATCAGATTCAATCAAAAACTGATTATTCTCCAAACCATACTGCCTGATCAACTTTAATCCATCAAGCATTGCCATGCATTCAGCCACCATATTAGATCCTATTCCATAAAAAGCAGCAGCAGCCAAAACTACAAGCCCTTTGGAATCTCTCAAGACCATCCNTATTCCATAAAAAGCAGCAGCAGCCAAAACTACAAGCCCTTTGGAATCTCTCAAGACCATCCCTCCTCCTGATAAACCACTGCTTCCTTTAGAAGCATCATCTACATTAAGCTTCAACAAAGTCCCAGAAGGAGGCTCTCCCATTAAGCTTCCGCAAAATTCTTCTTAACTCAAGTTTCGCTCTTCCGAATTATTGAATTTTCTAAGGAATCAAACACCCCCAAATCCTTTCCAAGTCTCTTGGCGTTGCTAGCCTTGGGCCCCAGGCTTCCATATTCTGATTTTCACATTATTTATCATTGTTTGCAAGTGTTTTCCCCCCCTATTCTAATCCATCAAACTATCTGGTTGGTCGGATTAGGATTATATCTGAATAGACCGGATTGAGTTATCCCTTGCACAATCCGAACCTGACAATGTTGAAATGCCTACTCAAGCACGGCTGTGAAAGCCACTAGAGAATTAAACAGAGTAATCACTTTTGTAGAGCACGACTCAAAAAAGCAAGGCATAACAGGAGAGAGAAATTCATATCCTCATTTTGTTGGGTTCCTTTTTTTGTGGAGTCTAGTTTTGTGTTGATTCGGATGATGACCCGACCCGAAATAATATTGCGTGGTTTTTAATGAAAAATTTTCTGAGACTTGGTTCATGGAACGGAGGCTTAAACTATAAAAACCTACTTTGATGATTAAGTTTTGAGAGAAACTATATAGCCGCCCTCTGTATTACTCATTTTTGATATAATGAAATCCCTACAGTTTCATGGACGTAGACAAATTATCGAACTACATAAAATCTGTGTGTCTTGTTCTTTCTTGTTTCTCATTGTTTTATATTCTTAATTTGTTCTTCGATTGTGTGTTTATCTGTGAGTTTAAAGCGCAGTGAATCCCAACAGATTTTGCCTTAATAATTTTTGTTTTCTGGGGAGTCGAAAATAGTTGCCAATTCAATATAACAACCAACAAATAACAGCTTCAAAGATCATAAAAAAAAAAAAAAAAAACTGCAAAATAACTCAACAGCTACACAATGCTCAGTAAAATTACAATCCTGGAACCAACAAATGGGCAAAATCCTTCATAGGTTCTCAAAATGACAATCAACTAAACTTGCAATTATTCATTTTGTAGAACATCAAGTTGGCAGTTACTTGCCCTGCCCTCACAACATTACAAAGAACATGATAAATATTAACATACACCGAGAAAAAACAATGACAAGTAGACATGTAATAGGCAATAGTCTACCTCTCCAGCCATTTTTGTTTTCAGCTGAACTCATCCATTGTTGGCAAATAAGAAAGTTGCTCNACATGTAATAGGCAATAGTCTACCTCTCCAGCCATTTTTGTTTTCAGCTGAACTCATCCATTGTTGGCAAATAAGAAAGTTGCTCTTTAAAACCGCCTCCATGACAATCTGCAAACACCAACATAAATGAGAAAGTCAAGCAACATAATAAGCAGCAGTGGAACACACGTGTTAATACGAACAGTTGGTTTATTTTGGAAAGAAAATGTCCCTATACCGGTGGATTTTGGGATGATATGAAAACAATTAGCATAACTTTAGTTATTGTTCATCCAAAATTTAACAGTTTTATGGGTTTTGGGCAATGTGAAACTAATCAATATAACAGAGGAGATGATGTGGGAAAATTGATAGGAGAGAAAGTACATTGGAATCCAGGCCATAAAAAAACTGAATTTAGAGTCAAGAAGAGACTAGTGTCATGAATGGAACCTTAGATAAGCAATTGGGTATAGACTCTGAGCTCATCATCATCCTTAGCATAAGCCCAACTTACTTGAACTTTGTTAGTGGATCAAAGGACCATCAATAACTATAAACACGGGATTTCAGCGATCTTGGGCCAATCTGCTCCTTTATCCTTCAAACACTGCTGTTCAACAAGCGGACAGCTCTAGATGGTCAGACTTGAGAGTGTGTGGCAAGTGTCCTTTCGTTCGGCAAAGAATGAAGATTATTGAGCCATTTGAGCCAAGAAGAATACAATTGATGGAAGCTTTGTTTCCCGCAAAACCAAATTAGTAAGATAATATTAGTCCCAATCCAAAGAAAAACCTCTAGACTGAGCAACTAAAGGAATGAAAAACAAAACAATATCAGTTACGATATCACCCCAAACAAAACAAAAAGAGTTTGGGAAAAATTCAAGTTAAGATTGAGCATCTAAAATGAAAACACCCGCGTCTAAAGCATGGCAGATTGCCTCGATTGCATATACTGCGTCTAAGCTATTGTTAGGAAATGGCATTTTCATGAAATCGGCCTGCATTATCACTGATTAATAATCAAAACACTGGACAGAAAAGAAGTTAAGAACAGATCATAAAGTTGAGATAGTGATGTAGATCATATTAGTTCTGATACCAAATTGATGTAGATCATAATATGGAAGAATTNAGATCATAAAGTTGAGATAGTGATGTAGATCATATTAGTTCTGATACCAAATTGATGTAGATCATAATATGGAAGAATTAGGGATGAGAAGGGAATGAAGAAAGAAAGCGAATTTGAGGAAGAAGTAGTATTAAGATTCAATATCAGTAATCAATAATAATCAAAATCTTATCTCCATAAAACTCTTACATGCATCCCNCATATTAGTTCTGATACCAAATTGATGTAGATCATAATATGGAAGAATTAGGGATGAGAAGGGAATGAAGAAAGAAAGCGAATTTGAGGAAGAAGTAGTATTAGGATTCAATATCAGTAATCAATAATAATCAAAATCTTATCTCCATAAAACTCTTACATGCATCTCTTTATATATGAAAACTAAAACCCTAAAACCAATAAGTAATGACAAATAAACTCTTAAAAATTAAAAGAAATTACTTAAAAAATAAATATTAAAAGTATCTAAATTACTCTCATGATTAATATAAAATATATATCCAATTCTTACACGATTCTCATCATTTTCTCCCAATTGAGAAAAACTCTCCTCCAAGAGTCTTCAAAGCAGAAGTACCATAAGAGCGCCGATTGAAGATGACATAATGTCTCATCTAGAATGAAAGAACCATCAACTTTTTTTCATCGATTAGGATAAATGCAAAAATCTCCATCTGTATGAACATTTGCTAATAAAATATGACGCACTGGAGTACCTCTATTAAGTAACATGTCCTCCAAATAAAAATCTGGATTAATACTATCATTCANCTTAAAAAATAAATATTAAAAGTATCTAAATTACTCTCATGATTAATATAAAATATCTATCCAATTCTTACACGATTCTCATCATTCTCTCCCAATTGAGAAAAACTCTCCTCCAAGAGTCTTCAAAGCAGAAGTACCATAAGAGCACCGATTGAAGATGACATAATGTCTCATCTAGAATGAAAGAACTATCAACTTTTTTCCATCGATCAGAATAAATGCAAAAATCTTCATCTGTATGAACATTTGCTAATAAAATATGACGCACTGGAGTACCTCGATTAAGTAGCATGTCCTCCAAATAAAAATCTGGATTAATACTATCATTCAATGAAAAATTAAGCAAATTTAGATCCAAACTCAAGAATAGGAAAACAATTCCCATTAAATTTGAACAGCATGCATTTAGTGGAACAAGACATCAATGACAAAGGAGTAATTATAACACCCTGGTGCTAAAAATAAGAAAGTACAAACTCAATTGAACACTTGACAATAGGCAAAGAAACAATGTTAACACTCTCGAGTGGAGCAGAATCTCGAATAATGCCAACAATCTCAGATTAAGAAGAATCTGTAACAAAGTCATAATGACTTGGNAAGTACAAACTCAATTGAACACTTGACAATAGGCAAAGAAACAATGTTAACACTCTTGAGTGGAGCAGAATCTCGAATAATGCCAACAATCTCAGATTAAGAAGAATCTGTAACAAAGTCATAATGACTTTGACAAGTAGACACAGAATAGTCACTAGTAGATTCTGCAATAAATGATTCGATTAGCTTAATATCTTGCATAGGTGTAGACTCAACCGATTTTTTCACAATTTTCAAGATCAATGATGGTTCAAGAATTGACGCAAGCAAAGACGCNAATAAATGATTCGATTAGCTTAATATCTTGCATAGGTGTAGACTCAACCGATTTTTCCACAATTTTCAAGATCAATGATGGTTCAAGAATTGACGCAAGCAAAGACGCACACACACTTTCTTTTGATATGAACTCTTGTGGGGACAAAGGAGGAGGACTTTGATCTGATGAAACTGAATGAGGGAGTTGGAAGTTAATATGAGTAACATTTTTCTCTTTATCCGATACTAGCATATCTAAAGCCTTTGTCACATTCGGATTAGGAAAGTCTGCCGAAACAACATGGACATCATTCAAGTAATCATGATATTCATATGTGGTGGAATTAAAATTGGGAGGTGTCCTGTCATGTTGTTTAGCAGACTGTGATTGAGAACCTATCAAGCTCTATTTGGATTTCTTATGAAATCTCTCAACCTTTAGGGCATATTGATAGGCTGCAACTAACGTATTAAAAGTGTATAGCTTAACTNCAACCTTTAGGGCATATTGATAGGCTGCAACTAACGTATTAAAAGTGTATAGCTTAACTTACCTACTAATTTTTTGTCTCAATCTAAGAACAAATTGATCAATTGTCCAAGGTTCTTCAACAATATCATACAAGTACATAAAATAATCGAATTGGGAAAAGCAATCAGAGACACTAGAAGAATATTATCTAAGATTGAGCCATTGGTCATAAAATTGATTATTGTAGGAAGTAGCAAATACTTATTTTTCAATTTATATCTCATTTCAATCCAAGTGATAAATGATTCTCCTAAACTACTAGGCTTTTTTGGATTGCTTGCCAATACTGCTTGGCGAAACACTCCAACATCAATTAAGTAAAATGGACAGAATGGGAATCTGAAATATNTTGCCAATACTGCTTGGCGAAACACTCTAACATCAATTAAGTAAAATGGACAGAATGGGAATCTGAAATATCATGTCATTTCAGTCAAAATATTCTTCTAAATTAACTAACCAATTCAAGAATTGATTGGGATCTGGAGTACCAAAAAATATAGAAAGATTTTTAACTAATTTGACAATAGGTGTTGAATCCTTGTAAACATACCAAGACTTCTTACGATAATGACCTCAAGGAGGGACTCTTAAACTAGAATAAACATGTGGAAGAGCAACACCATCTAACCATAAAAATACATATTCTATACTTTGTTTATGAGTGTCATAAATGGAAGGCACCTGAACCTGAGATAAGCAAGTGGGGATGGACTCTGAACTCATCCTTATCCTCCCTCAGAAGTAGTCCAACTTAATTTCAACTCTATTGATATATACGAATATAAGGGATGTCGGCGATCTTTTGCCAATCTACTCTTTTATCCTTCAAACACCGTTGTTCAAGAAGTGGGCAGTTTGAGATGATTAGGCTTGAGAGTGTGGCGAGTGTTCTTTCGTCAGGCAAGGAACGAAGATTAGGGCACTTGTCGATATGCAGGGCATTAAGAGAGGTGAGGTTGTGGATACCCTTAGAGAAAGAACTGAGGTTAGGCATGTCTACGATCGTAAGCCGTGTTAGAGTAGAAGGAAGCCAACACTCATCCGGCAAGGAATGTAGCTCTGGGTATACATACACCATTCATGTGAAAGTTTTGAAGAGAAGAGAGTCTGTGGAGGCCCCACTCTGATAGAGGCTTCAAATTATTGCAATTTAAGATAAAAATATCTTTAAGGTTGGGGGGCAAATTCTCTTGAGGAAAGGACTCAAGATTATCACAATAAGACATGAACAAGACTGTAAGGGATGTGAGGCTTTGAAACTTGCTTGCAAAACAAATGTCATTCGCAATACCACTGATACGAAGCCTTCTGAGGTTGGGAGTAATCAAACTACTTCCTGTTGGGAACGGTTGTCCCTTCTTATAAGACAAATCACAATAAAAAGGCGGCATAGATACAGATAACTTCTCCAACTTTGGCCAATCACTGATCCTAAAACATCCTGGCTCCTCCATGATTATGTTCAGTCTAATCGGCTCTAAAATTGACCCTAATTCCTCGCAATTACGAATCTCAAGTGACTTCAGGGTGGAGGAAAATGTATCCATTGGCAAGCATCTCAGAGACGAGCACTCGTTGAGGCACAACTCCTCAAGACAAGAGTTGCAATTAGGCAGGGATTCTAGTGAACTGCAGTCTGTTAACCTAAGACTTCTAAGCATGGGCGGGAGATTGGCCTCTTGAAAGGACACGAGCTTTGGGCACCTTTCCAATTCCAATACTTTGAGAGAAGTATGGCTTTCCAGGCCATTTGGCAACCTCCCCAGACAATCACATCCAGATACTCGCAAAGATTCAAGATTACAAGGTAGCATTTGATCTTCTTCAGTCAAGCACACAAGTTCGGAACATCCCTCGACACTTAAGTGTTGCAAATGGGAAAGGTGTTGTGGTGTATTCCCCTTCTGCCACAGAGTCACTAGTGCAGCACAGTCACACACTTCAAAATTTTCAAGTGACACCAAGAAATGAGTGAATTCTTCTTGCAAATGGGTCAGTCCCGAAATATCCTTAATAAACAGTTGTCTTAGAGAGGTTAATTCAATGAGACTTTTTAGAACCACCTCTCTACAACGTTCTATCTTTAATTTGCAAAGAGAAGGAAGCCTTAGGACTGAGACACTTACCAGTTTAGGACACTTGGCCATGGTAAGCTGACGAAGGCAAGGGAAATGTCCTACAAATTCAACACCAATACAACTACACCATCCTTCCCATTCCGGCATATCCTCAAAGCTTAGAGTCTCGAGTGACGGGAATCGAGTCTCTAATGAGCCACCATCCCCGTAGAACTCGGCTCCCACGTTCTTTATTGCATGCATGCCTTGAATGTGTAGTTCTTTCAACAGAGGTAGCTGACCCAGTGGTGGCAAAGACGCACATTTTGTACATCCTTTTAGACTAATCTGCGTTGTTTTTGAGAACGACAGATCCCCAATCCAACTGGGGAATGTTAAGCCCCTGTAAAACTCAATTTTGAGACGTTTCAATCCTTTATGGGGCCGTAGCATGTTGAGTACGTTCGCTTGAAGCTCTTCATTTTGAGAATCTTGAACCTCACTACTCCATAGCAATTCTAACTCATCAAGCTCTCGCTTATTATTTAAGTTGGCCTCCTCTGCATCCCGCACATTCTTAACATTTTGCAACCCTACAATAGAAAGCATCCCCTGTAGAAGCTCTAGGTTGTTCAAATGGTTAAGTCCCAATCCGCCACTTTTACACAAAACAAACTTTGGCATTGCTGCAAACTTATCAATTTACTTATCCCTCGGGGCATTTCTTGTAATTTTTTGCCAAGATGGCGAAGGTTAACTAAATTGCCAAAGTTTGTGGGCAACATACAAAGCTCAGAACAACGATGCAACGATAATGTCTGCAAATTATAGAGATCAGTCACTGATTTTGGCAACCATTTAATTGATGTCCCTGATAAATTCAACAACCGAAGATGTTTCAAATCGCCAATCGAGTTGGGTAACTCGCTTATATCATACTCAGTCAATAATAAGACTCTTAAGTACAGTAATTTTGGCGGTATGTTAACTAAAACACCATTGCTTAAACAGAAGGTTTGCCTTGTATCTGACTTAGAAATTGGTAGTGCTAAGAATGTTCGCAAGCGATGAAGTTCATGATCAAATGCCTTGAATCTTTTGTACACTTCACAGTAATGGCGCATGAATGCCGAGTGGCAAGCCTTCGGAGAAATGTTACACCGTTCATTGTTGTCCATATTATCTTCCATCCTAAAGCATATTTCTCCCGTAACATGTTGAGCTAAATCATTCAAAAGGTCATGCATCGTGAATTTTGATTTCATGCCACTTGAAGGTTGGAAGAATGACCTTGATAACAACTCATTGAAGCAATCATCACCTAACTCTTTCATGCATTTCCTCATTCTTTGTGATTGTTGCAGAAAACCTTCTGCCATCCATAACAAGACTAACTCGTCCTTGTCAAACTCGTAGTCCTTTGGAAATATGGCGCAGTATCCAAACATTGGCTTCAATTGAGAAGGAAGGTGATGATAGCTTAATCTCATAGCTGGAAGAATGCTGCTCTGATCCTCGGGTAAATCCCAAACAAATAAATAATGATGCATAGATCTAAAATTTTTGGAAATTTTGGACGAGCCCAGACCAATAGTTCAACCTGCAAATTGGTTGATGAAGAGTGAAATCTCCTTCTTCAAATTAAAAGGCAGCATACGTACGTAACTTTTAGGAAACTATTTAAGTCTCATTCTTCAAATTATATACTACAAACATACCGATGAAAGTTAACCAAAGTTAATTACAATGTCCAACGAGCTTCTCTACTAAAATGTTCGGTTATAATTTATATTCGTGATAATTATAACATTCTTTTTTTTTATTGTTATTAGTCTAAAGAAGCAATTTATTAGACTTTTTAACAGTATCCAAATTTTAATTATTCTTCTGAATGCTAATACACATAGCGTGTTTGTGTCTGATTTCTCTGTGAAAATTCAATTTTGTTGGTATCATAAAATCTAGAATAAATTCACAAAAAAAAAAAAAAAAATAGATATCAATGGAAGAACAATACCACAAAAAGTAGAGATGCACCAAACGTTGAAACGCAGAGATAATTGAATGCGTAAAGTAATGCATGCTAAGAGCATGAGAGAAAGACTAGGAGAAAGAAGGGAACATCGAGGATTTCTGAAAAAGGTAAAGAAGATAGAGAAAAAAAGTTTATTTGGAGTGAGGGAAGATGGAGATGAAACGACAGGCAAGAGAGAGAAGATTGGGAAGCGTAGATTTTTTATTGGAACATGAGGACGTTTTGGTTTATTTTGGCTTTTAATGTTGAGAGATAAGAATGAAATAGTTGTGATTTTAGAGGATAAAAGTGGAAACAAATATTTTTCAAATATGCTCACTTTTTAAAGTAATATAGATTTAATCCATGAAAGAATTCAACTTATTTTCTATTCTAAAGTGTAATGAGTAACACTATTGATACAAAAAAAAAATTGACATAATTTACTAACCTAGACAATGTGATCCATTAACATGAATAATAAAAAGGGGATGTTTTAATGTTATCTACAAATAACCCATTTAGTCGTTGTTTCTGGAAGAAAATGGGCATTTTTTCTTTTTTCATTTTTTTACCTATTATTTTAGTTAAATATATTTTTTATTGAAGAAAAAATAAAATAAAATTTTGGGACAATATCAAGATAACAATGTAGTTGAAGGTACAATGTAATAAACATAATAGTTGGGAGGAAAATGCAAGAAAAAGGCCATAGTTAAGGGGATCAAAGTCTAATTTACCTTTCAAAAAAAAATTACAAAAGCCACTCATTAGTATGTTGGTTCTGCCAATTTCTCTAGCATATAGAGGTTAGGGAAAATCACTGATGATGCTCGATATCTATTCTTGTATTTCCCGGAACCCCAGGGGTGGGTGGGATTGCTCTGTTCCATTAGATATTTCTTTGGGTCTGGACAAGAAAACGCAGTTTTCTGCGTCAATTGAAATATTGGAAGAATTATATTCAAACTTCCTGAGATTTTTACTTAATCAGTTAAACCTCTTGACTTTTAAAATATTGTACATATACCTTTTGAGATTTATACGTGCATAACATTTAGATCGCTACAGTAAATTCATTCAAAAAATCAGTGTTTGCAATGCGGATATAGGTTTTACCAGGATAAAATTTTGTACATATGACTCTTCTAACACCTGCAAGGAGCCTCGTATAATGATCATTATTATTTTTTTTCAAAAAGATAAAAAAAATAAGGAAACTGCTTTGCATTTGCTAGTGAGAGGGCAAAAGAAACCAAATCTTGTATTTTGAACGGATTGATCCGTGACTTTTTTGGTTAAGAGAGTGAGAGGTAGCTAACCACCCTAAAGCACTATATATTTTAATATAGAACAATGTCATACTGTTATTTCAGTTTGTAACCAAAAATGTAAAGCGGAAGCTCCCCAAAAACTTCATGATCGAGTATACAACAAATGATCAACTATGATTGAATTTAAAAATAAGTCAGTCCTACCATCAAAATGAGAAATTTCAAAGGTAAGCAATGGACTATTATTACGTGACAGGGGAAAGAAGGGATAATGCAATGTATCGGGAAAAAAAGGGAATGGGTTTTCCACGACTCTAGTTACGACTTAATCAAATCAAATTATATTTCAAATAACTTTATTAACGACTCAATGCGTCAATTTAAGNAAGCACCATTGTCCTACCATTGCCGCCCATAGGAAGGCTAGAAAACATCATTGCCCTTCCATTGCCGCCCATGACTCACCAACTACTTGGACAGAAGCCCACTCCTCAGTGTATAAATACGAGCAAAACAAATGACAGAGAGAGAGAGAGGACCCCATTGTTGGAAAAGGAGAAGCTTAAGGACCGAAACTTTGAACCTACAACTACTAGCTCTGGACAAAGGTAGGAATTACAACTCCTTTGTTTTCTTTCATATCTCTCTACTATTTTAATTTTCTTTTTTGCTTTGTAAGTTGTTGATCTAGTTTATGTGGTGTTCATGTCAATGAATAATATATGTGGATGAGCTCTGTGTGTGTGTGTGTGTCTATATATATATATATGCATATGAATGAAATTGGTCAAATGGATCTTCGAATTTCATCAAGGAATGAGGCGAAAATTTGTTTCATATTTCATCAAGTCGTTATTTTTTTCAAAATATTTGTCAAAAGAGTAAAGTAGAAGAGAAATAGGGACGAGAATCAATGATGGTCCAATAATTCCGTAGTCCGTCGATAAATTGTTACGTCATAAATTCAAATCTCACCGCTCCCTCTCCTATGAAAGTTTCAACTTTCAAATAGTGACAAAAAAACAAGTGGGGACCATTCCTTCTTTGAAAACCTTTTCCTTTTAAGTGGTGTAAGGGTCCAGGCATTTGCAATGCATTTTCGTGTGCAAACCAAATAAAGCTGGATGCTACCAGTTTTGTATGTCTCTGGACAATGATGAGGAGATTGCATAGCATTTTCGTGTGGTGGAGGCGCCTATAAATTGTAATGTCTCACCTGTTATGAGAATAACTCCTCCATTTATTAAGAGACGTCTATAAATTGTAAACTCCATCTACCCAGAAGAGCATTACTCACATCTAAATACTTTACACTGCTAAAGCAATAAAATACTCAGACGACTGTAGCCCTTCATAGTGGAGTAGGTCATCATAACTGAACCGTTTAATTTGTGTTTGTTTGTGTTGAGTTTCCTTCTTAATTACTGCATTAAATACTTAGTATGTGGTGCATCAAATCTGAGTTAATTTGTTGATCTAGTAATGTGATGTCATTAGAATTATTGGATTAATATTAAATTCCAATATTTCATGGGATCCATAGTCAATCCGCAGGCCATATATAATAAATTATATTAATAAAGTAGGTCCTAATAGCATTGCTCTAAATGAAGATATGAGAATAATAGATATCGCGTAGAATAAATATACTTGCATCCTCTAAGATATATTTAATACTTAACCTTTTGCACACCAAAAAATTTAAAATTCTTATATTGTACCCTTAAAAATTAAAATTTTAATAGTAATGTGAAAAATTTAATCTTTGAGAGTACAAACTAAAATTTTTTAAATCTTTCAGGGTGGAAAGTATGATTTTCCCTAATTTTATTCAAACATCCTTTACAAATTAAATGAAAAGTTATTTCACTTTCCCTCAAACTATGCGATTTTGTTTTATTTTGATCCAAAATTAAGGAGACATGAACGTTTCCCATATATTTTTATTTCAAAAATTATGTCCTTTGTGTCTATTTGGTCCACGACCTTTTAATTGTGTCAATTTAATCCCTTAAATTTTTAATTTATATCACTTTGGTATAATAAAAAACTGCAGTTTAAATTGATTAATGGAGATAGTCACGTGCAACTCACGTGACTAAACTTGAGAGACCAAAGTAACCCAAATGTGATCACGTGAGATGCACCTGAACNCAAAAGCCACTCATTAGTATGTTGGTTCTGCCAATTTCTCTAGCATATAGAGGTTGGGGAAAATCACTGATGATGCTCGATATCTATTCTTGTATTTCCCGGAACCCCAGGGGTGGGTGGGATTGCTCTGTTCCATTAGATATTTCTTTGGGTCTGGACAAGAAAACGCAGTTTTCTGCATCAATTGAAATATTGGAAGAATTATATTCAAACTTCCTGAGATTTTTTACTTAATCAGTTAAACCTCTTGACTTTTAAAATATTGTACATATACCTTTTGAGATTTATACGTGCATAACATTTAGATCGCTACAGTAAATTCATTCAAAAAATCAGTGTTTGCAATGCGGATATAGGTTTTACCAGGATAAAATTTTGTACATATGACTCTTCTAACACCTGCAAGGAGCCTCGTATAATGATCATTATTATTTTTTTTCAAAAAGATAAAAAAAATAAGGAAACTGCTTTGCATTTGCTAGTGAGAGGGCAAAAGAAACCAAATCTTGTATTTTGAACGGATTGATCCGTGACTTTTTTGGTTAAGAGAGTGAGAGGTAGCTAACCACCCTAAAGCACTATATATTTTAATATAGAACAATGTCATACTGTTATTTCAGTTTGTAACCAAAAATGTAAAGCGGAAGCTCCCCAAAAACTTCATGATCGAGTATACAACAAATGATCAACTATGATTGAATTTAAAAATAAGTCAGTCCTACCATCAAAATGAGAAATTTCAAAGGTAAGCAATGGACTATTATTACGTGACAGGGGAAAGAAGGGATAATGCAATGTATCGGGAAAAAAAGGGAATGGGTTTTCCACGACTCTAGTTACGACTTAATCAAATCAAATTATATTTCAAATAACTTTATTAACGACTCAATGCGTCAATTTAAGCCCTTCCATTGCCGCCCATGACTCACCAACTACTTGGACAGAAGCCCACTCCTCAGTGTATAAATACGAGCAAAACAAATGAGAGAGAGAGAGAGAGGACCCC